TTTCTTGACTCTCAAATCTATTCCATTTATTATTATTTCTATCCTTAAGCCAATATAACACAGTCTTGATTACTGTGACTTTATACTAAATTTTGAAATTAAGAAGAGTGTCACCTCTAACTTCATTCTTCTTTTCCCAATTGTTTTGGCTATTTAGAGCTTCTTGCATTTCCACATAAACTTTTGGATCAACTTGTCAGTTTCTAGAAAAAATACTATTTGAATTTTGATAGGAATTATTGTTGAAGCTGTAGATCAACTTGGGGAGTATTACCATTTTAGCAATATTAAGTCTTTTAATCCATGAACACGAATGTATTTCCAGTTATGTAAGTCATCCATAATGCTCTCCAACAATGTTTTGTAGATTTTAGTGTACATGTTTTGCTAAAGTTTTTCTTAAGCATTTTATTCTTTTTGATGCTATTATAAATGAAATTTCATTCTTCATTTCATTTTTGTATTGTTAATTGCTAGTGTATAGGAATACATTTTTGTATATTGATTTTATGTCCTTGTCAAACCTGTTTATTAGCTCTAACAACTTTTTTCATGGATTTCTTACAAAATCACATCCTCTACAAATAGAGATAACTTTACTTCTGCTTTTTTAATTTGGATAACTTTTACTCTTTTTCTTGCTTAATAGCCCTGGTGCAAATCTGCACGACAATCTTGAATAGAAGTGGTAAGCGCAAACATCCTCATCTCATTCCTGATTTTAGGTGGGAAGACTTTCATTTTTTCAACATTAAGTGTGATGTTAGTTGTGAGTTTTTCTAGATGCCTTTTTTTTCATATGAGGAAGTTCCCTTCTATTCCTAGTTTCTTCCATGTTTTTATTATGAAAATGTGTTGAATTTTTTCAAATGCTTTTTCTGTTTATTGAGACAATCATCTGGTTTTTGCTTTGATTCAATTAATATGTATATTACATTGATTCATTTTTATATGTTGAACCAACCTTAAATTCCTGAGATGAATCCTACTTGGTCATGGTGTACAATAATTTTTATATATTATTGGATTAGATTTGCTAATATTTTGCTGAAGATTTTTGCATCTATATATGTATTCTTAAAATTTTTATAAACTTTTTGTGTCTTTTTGCTCTGAAATTTCTTTCTAAATGTGATAAATTCTTAGGCTGAGCATAGAATAGATTAACATATGTCACATAAGTCAATGGAGTTTTCAGCATTAAAACTCTAGTCTCTCCATGCAAACCTCAGTAGGTAATTTCTACAAAATTATTTCTTACTCAGTTCTCATATATAGATCTCCATTTGAACATACAATCCTTCAGTAGATTTTCTTTCCTCACACAGAAAATTGGCCTACTAAGGTTTGTCTCATGACTATATTGATTTGAACTATATACAACCCATTGTATTTTCCCCTAGGAGGAGATAGACACATCTGTAGTGTGCACACTTTAAAACAAATTTTTGTTTTGTTTTGATATTTTGGGTTTAAAAATCATTCTAATGTACAAAAACCAAAATCAATAGGATACCAATTATACAAAAGTCTTTAGAGAACTAAAACTTAGATATCTTACTGGGTTACATATTAAAGCTCTCATACTTTAAGACTATAGGACTTATTGGAGTCAAGTCTAGAAAGAAAATTAGAAATCTTAAGATTTATAATGAAGGTAAGATTATATTGAATTTATCTTATAATAAATAATGGGAAAACTTAACCTTTTTGGTCATCACTAATAGGATCACTAGAGAATATTGATAACAAGAGTATGTTCATTAGAAGACAATGCTAAACCGTTTTTCCAAAGCACATTTGAGTAACTATTGACAGTTATTGATTAGTCATAAACAATATTTTATTGTTTATATTCCCTATTATATTACAAGTGCTCTGAAGGTAGGTACAGTGTGTGTTTTGCTGCTAGGCATTTGAATTGTCCAAAGAAGTATTAGGGAGCACCAAAAATTTTTGAATAAATGGATAACTAGATGAGTCAAAATAGCTAACAACAAAGAGTATTGGTTAACTTGCCCTAGTTGGGGGCAATTCTCTTTGGAAAATTGATGGCTTCTTTCTTATCCAATCTGGTCAATTTTACTATAAGTGAATCAAAGGAATTTCAGCTATACTTTCCAAATCTGAAGAAAACCGTAGTTTTTTTGTACAACTGATCTAAAAGTAGCAATGGAATTAGAACAGAAACTATCTTAAAGTTATGTAAAACATGAAAAATTTTATTAGCCTTTGATCAAGATGCATACCTCTAGGTACAGATGAAATGAATATTTATAATTTTATTAGACTAAATTGCTTCAGGCTATAAACTTCATTGCTGAATTTTAACTTTAATTTTTATAGTCTGAGAGAGATGCTTTTGAATATACCATTCCTGAATAAAAATATTAATATATTCAATACCATACTATTATCCTCTATATATTAACTTGTAGGACAATAAAAATTCATATAATAAAATTTATTATTCTGCTTTTTTGTTAATATGATCCCTTTCATATAATGAAGTTTACCTCTTATTTCAATTTCTATTATCTATTGCATATTTCTTTACAGATAATATATATGAAGCTAAATTGTCTTTAAAAATAGTCCTTTGTCAATTTCACGCTTTCTGATTGTGACTTTTTACCTTGTGTCACAGACATTTCTGAATATGCCTTATCTCTCCTGTCAGATGCTGGAGTCATTAAGGACAGGAAGTTGTGTGTGTATCTGTGTTGTTTTATTGACCACATCATTTCTCAGGGCTTGGAAAAGAGTATGCACAGACATCTGTTCCAGCAACAAAGGAGAGATCAGCTTGCTGGTGGCAGAGAGAACCATCACTTCACTCACAGACCATACACACTCCACGGAAGCACAGCTCTGAGGTTTGCACACCCCTGAGATGATCAACTACTCACGCTGCTCAACCGAGGATAGAAACTACCAATCAGGGCAGAGATTAGAGCTCAATGTCAGACACAAAAGGGAGCAAATTCTTCTCCACTTAGATGTTAAAAACAATTATAATGTAGTTCAACTGACAGCCAAGGATGGGCTCCATCTACTGTTCTCTAAAACTCAACTTGGTCTGTGAACTTTTAGGAATGTCATAACCTTCTCTATCCAAAGGCACACTGTTATTCTCATGGGTGAAAGTTGGAGAGCAGTTTTTTTCCTTTACTTGTTTTTTCTAATTCTTTGTGGTTTTCTATACTATGCCATCATTTTAAATAAAATTTAAAAATCTATAGTATTACGAAATGCCTATGAAACACATCTAATGTCACACAGCCAGCTTATTAGAGACTAGGATACTCTGCTTTAGAATGAGTTGTGATGGCTATAAACATCTTCCAACACTCTATGGGAAATGTTCACATTTTTATTTCTGTGTTAACTGTTCCATCACTGCTCCACATATGAAGAGTGGAACTAGAACAATGAATCATGTGAAGGAATCTTCAGTACAAGCTGTCTCTCTGTCAATACATAGTCAAGCCCAGATTCTTTATCCACCTTTAAGGTATGATTATAATACAGAACCACCACTTCAGCTTGAAGTTGTTATTCACTGTACTTCACTAAAACTATATTCTTACAGCAAAGAATTCACATACCCTCTTTAACGGCTTCATCTACATCTTAAATAGCAGATGATCAGTTTAGAGTTTTATGTTAGGCTGCACCATCTAAACATTACACATTTGTTTTTACCATTCATGAGAGTACTCCAAGAACACTAGGATTTGTAACATTCCTCTGTCTGAAAAATAAGAAGTCTTAATTTTATTGCTTATCATCTGTTTGAAAGATGTGATCATTTTAACAGTTACTGTGCTTCCCTTTGAACACCCATTCATGTGCCTTCTCTAACATTCTCAAGTTGGTGGTGATATATATGGGATAGAGGAAATGACCAAAAGAATCAGTGTATACATGGATGAAGGGGTAATAAAGATTCCATTGATTATTTAAGGCTAAACAGAGCCAGATGAGAGCCAAGTACCAGAACAGGAATAATAAACATGCCTCAAGACAATTTCTCCCAAATAGCATTTAAATATCAATAAAATGCATAGTTTATATATTATCAAAAAGAAACACCTTTCAAATTTTTATTCCAATTTAATTCCTGGTGACATGGTGAAAAATAAAAGCATAAAGAATTTGATGCCTAAATAGTAAAGTATGTTTTTACTTTGGCGCTTTTATGGAGAATAACTTGCAGACATAAAGAATGTGCACTATTTAGGCCATGACTACGTAAGAGTGGCTCAGAGCAATGAACACATCTCACTTCAGCCCACAGGCAAAGCAGGTCTTGGGCCATAACCCAAAGCCTATTCATTTGCTTAAAGAAAATAAAGTCTCTTTTTATCTTTAATGATGAGAATCTAGTTTTATCATTAAATAACTTCTGCATTTGACTCCTGATTAATATATAATAGACATCTACTTTGATTTCCTCCTTCCTGAATTGTTAGAAAAATGCCAAGTTTCATTTCATTATGAGTGATTACCAAGTAAGAGGGTCAGTGTGGAGGCATTTTTCAAGGACCACCCTTGCTCATCTTGCAAGCAGCACTTACTCAGGATTATATGTGCACTCAGACAAGAGGACAGCTTCCACCTTGGTTGTCACTCATTGGGAAATCATGAGTATGACAAGAAGCTTCTTTTAGCATGATGAATGGTTCCTGTGTTTGCAACCTAATACTTCCCATCCATGTCAAGGGAAGATAC